CTTTATTTGTTAATATATGTTCAGTAATTGTCCAAATATTTTCTGTTTGAATAATTTAACTAATCTTCGTGATTAAATTTCTCTTGTGAATCAGATTTTCGAAGTAAACATAAGAACTCTTTTGTTTCTATTTTAAAGGAATTGTTTATAATGAAACACAAAATTCAGTCACTCAAAGCTGTATTTTTTCAGTGGCACATCAATGGTGAAATTTTGAAGAAAATCCTGGCTGCTCATTTCCATACGTATGAACTTCTAGGATACTTTCATGTCATTTTAGAGGTAAGAAGTCAGAATATTTTTCCAAAATTCACCTTTTATGTTCCACGGTAGAATTAAATTCAGCTTTGGAAATGGTGACAGAATTTAAATTTTCTGTGGGAACCTTTTACACATTTGTCTGCGATTCGTTTCTTCCCTTCAGATATTTGAACCATTAATCGGGGCTGGAGATAAGGCTTCTAATCAGAACCACATTAGCTAGTACTTCCTGCTGTCATGTGGCCTCATGGATGGAGTCCTGCCCATCATCCAAGGGTCATTAGGGGCCGCGACCCCTAGCTGTGATCCCTCAGGCCCTGGGTAATGGCTCCACTGCAGGATGGCCAGACGTCACGTAGTGTCCCACATCCCCCCGATTCATCCGTGCAACGTCAGTGATTTCCTAAAAAAGGTGACTTGTGTGCTAATTAAGACCGATGAAAATCCATTTTCCCTGCAGTACATCTTAAAAACAATGTTTGAATTTGATTGAGGCTGATGCAAAGATTTTCCGCATGAAATGCACTGGCATCCACAAGCCGGTAAAAGATAAGACTCTGTTTGTTAACGAAAGCCTTTTGTATTTGTTTTGATTACCTGGTGGGTTCTTGGCGGACTTAATTTAGGCCACAGTTTACTCAGCGCCGAAGAAAGAATTGTGTGTGTTTCATAGGACGAACGCTGTCCAGATGTTTAAGATCCTGTCAAAACCACTTGGTGGAAAAGTGACGGGAACGAGCGAATGTTTACTTTGCACTTTCTGGAGGATGCCATTAGAAAATTTTAATTTGAATCAAATTACGATCTGGCACGTATATTCTTTCAGCACGGTTGTATTTAGCATATTAGTAGAGAGCCGCTTTTATAAATGACACATTAAATGTACCGTGAAAAGCCCGTGAAATCCAGGACATGTGATGCAATCGGAATACTCGCAAAGTACCTCAGGAACGCACACACATCCTGTTAGCGGCAGTTCCATAATTTCAGGCTGTGCAAACACGTAGAAAGGAAAGAAAAGCACAAGTTGTCTGGGCTCTGAAAATGATGGGCCGAACTGACAGTGCATCATTTTATGCCATGAATATGAGTATTCAGCTGATGTCTCCAAATGAACTGTGAACAAAAAGCTACTGAGAACCAGGAATGAGGCTCTTCTAGGTAATGGTAGACACCAGTCTCAATGTTTGTGCTGTTTATTTGTTCACCACATTGGTTGCATGACAGCAACAAGAAATAGGTCATTCTATGAATCAGCTTTCTTGTCTAGTGTGATAGGAGATTTTAAACATTGTTTCAGGTAAATAATGTGTCGAGTTGTTAAGTATCTAAGGCTAAATTAAATTAGCTGAATTAATTAATTTTTGGTTTTATTTATTGAAAGACATTAATAACCTTTTCAGCAAAAAGCAATGCTACAAAAAATAAATACATTTTCACAAAATAATAGGAAGCAACACTAACAATAATTCATTTTTGAGCAGCAAATCAGCATCTTAGACTGATTTCTGAAGGATCATGTGACTGAAGACTGGAGTAATGATACTGAAAATTCAGCTTTGATCACAGAAATAAATTACATTTTAAAACCTATTAAAATTGAAAACAGTTATTTAAAATGGTAATAATATTTTAGAATATTACTGTATTTTTAGATCAAATAAATGCAGCCTTAAAAAACATTAAAAATAATATTGAATTTTTGAATGGAAGTGTACATAGAAAGTGGACAAAATATTTAATGCATTTTGTCTATTTTATGTCTATACTTTTTATTATTGATTGATTGGGCACCTGTTTTATAGAATGACCCAAACGTCAAAACCAACGGGTAGGCTGTTAATGCGAACTCTCTAGAGGCTAATATTTATGTTGAATCTGCAATGTAGTTTCTGCATTAATATCTCATTGATCTGCCCTCAGATATCATCACTTCATCCTGTGGAGGAAAGAGCTGAGAGGCCCATCCTCAGAACACTTCCCAAGAGCCTTATTTGACTAAGTGGCGGGAACATTAGCATTTTCAGCCGGGCCGCTGGGATATGCTTGGAAGAGCACCGTAGGAGAGGTGCAGAGCGAAGAAAAATAAGCTACAGCACTACCAATAAGTCGCCCTTGAAAGGAACCAGATGTGTGCGCAAAGATCTTTCGAAAATATTATCTTTGGAGGTCGAACTTCTCAGAACGCTGTTCTTCTCCCAACCCCCGCAAACCAACACTTGCTCGCCGTACGCTTTTGCGTGCTTTTCATTTCAATACTTTTGTTTTTACAATAGCATTTTTCAGAGGTCAAAAATGTGAATAAGGCCCACGGTGCTCATTGTTTCTGCATCGTTCCACGGCGTCTGCTTTTAAAACACACAGTGAGACTTTGTGTGGCAGCTCAAGGCCCTGACAGGCTGAAGTCAGCTCACGCCACGGCGTGTCGGGGAAACGGCATGGTTGTTCTCCTACACAGAGGCACCTCTATGGAAAGCCAAAAGACCAAAAAAAACCACAAACCTCAGGGCTTTTTGAATAAAACTAGCCGGAGTCTCTTATGCAACCTTTTTTTCTGTGGCGACTAGAGCAGAAACACACATGCAAATCTGTCAGCTAACTCGTTAGGATAATAACTCGAACATGTGGGGGTTTTTTCACCATCCATCCTGCCGTAACAAAACAAAAAGCCTTTGAGCGATAAGTCGGCGGATAGAAGTACAGGGGTGAAATATGGACGCTCGGTTGCGCCGCCAACAACAAAAACAACAAAAGGTTTGTGTTGGGATCTGCTTCCCTATAAATGTGTCACAATGTTGGAGCCCCTCCTGGGTGTGCCGGACATGGTGTTCCCACAAGATCTCTCTGGCTCGGGTGCTCTGTCATTAGGCCTTGCCACCGGTGCCACACGCCACTCCTAGTGCTGAGCAGAGGGAGCGCAAGGCCAACGAGACGCAGGTTTGCCAGAACGCTCGAGCCTCCCCCATAACCGCTTCAGACGTGTCTTACTGGAACTTCTGCTGTGGAGACAGATAATTGAGTTTCTTTATATTCCATGCAAGTTTGTTTAAATTGTCTGTCTGTATACACAGGCTGTGACCGGTCCAAATCCAATCCATCCAGCGTTGGGTGACTGCATGGTGTTTGGTGTTTTCGGATTAGTGTCAACGTATCAATCAAATCGGACTGTTCCAGTAAATCTCAGGTGAATTTCTTTTACCTGTCATTTCCCAAAAGCCCCGCAACAGGGTCATAGGTTTTCACCCATCCATGTTAAGATGGCCACCGCGTGGGCAAATGTTTGTTATCTTTGGTTTCAGCTGGAGGTTCGGTGTCTCTCTGGGACTGGTCGACATGCATACCAGGACAGACCAGCAGGGCCCTCCCATTACCACATGGTGACTGGGGATATGTTCCATAGGAGTCATGTGACCGCTAGTGTCCTCTTTCCCAGTGTATCCCATTGCGAAAGATGCATGTGAGTGCAAACTTTACATTCATGGTAATTATGACAGTATGTTCAAAGCAATGCTACTCATAGAAATAATGCATGCTATTTTTAATCAGTCTACAGTACTGAATGAGTCATGTTTGGATGAATCTCTGGAAACCTGTCATAAACCAGTCAAATTTCATCCCAAAATCAAAAGAGAATAAAATAAAACAAAAATTATATTTTATTTTGCATTATATTTTTAGAAATGTAAAATCTTTTAATAACAGTACTTTTTTTTTCATTGTGACATTTTTTTATATTTTTGTCCCTCGATTTTCATTTACATATTGCATATAATGAAAAAAAAAAAAAAAAAAACGCATTACTGTAATGCAAAAATTATTATTTAAAATGATACTCTTATAATTTATAGTAAATAATTTATATATTTATAATAATTTGTAAATTATACAAATTAAAATGTACTGTTACAGTAATGAGAATTGAATTGATCATCACTGAGAATAATGGAAATTAGAAATCAAATATTAAAAGTAAAATGTCAAGATACATTTCGATAATGAGAATTAGTTCGGAAAATGTCACGATTGCAAAAAAAAAAAAAAAAAAAAGATATTCCTAAAACAGACTTCATTTTCTTTGTCAAATATTAATCATTTTTACCTTCTTTTAAATTTGTGGATAAAATGTAATCTGGGCATGTTTCTGTGAGACAGGGTTATTAACAGTGTTATTAAATAAAATAAACATTAACTGAAATAAAATATAAAAAATAAAAATATTTTTATATAAATAATTCGTGTATAATAAATAAATAATTTATATTTAAATAATTGATTTCAGCTAGTTGCCAACATTTCTCATTTTTAAGTACTAAAATAACTAAAACTAAAATAAAACGAAAAAATAAATAAAAAAAATAAACTAATTCAAAAACAAACTATAACACTGAGTATATAAACGATACTCAAATAACTGTGAGATGCTGTGAGATTTACCTATTTGGCTACAGAGATGTCGTTTCCCCAAGAACAGTATGCTCTTGCCCTGTCGAATACAAATTGAATTTCATCTAAATTAAATCAATCTGCATGAAAAGCTGCAATATCTGTCTGTTAGGGGCAATAATCCTGGGCACTTGTGCCAAGGCCAAAGGAGGCCTGCATGTCAGTGATACTTTCATCTAAATATACACGAGACTGATGGCAGCAGGTGAGAGGGGCCCTGTGAGACGCTGGCGCTGAACCATCACGCATACGGTGCAGGTCGTACCCAAGTGTCTATGTGCTCGTGTGTATGTCCTTGTTGGGTGCGGTTGGGGCTAGGATGCCATCTCCCATTCAATGTGGATCGAGATCTGAACTAAACGCAACCCAATTTTGGGTTTCTCTTCAAAGCCAGCTGGTCTGGCTTGATTTTCTTTAGCCTTTTTTGACATATTAACAATCTTTTTTCTTTTTTTACAAAGACTGGCCCACAGCAGGTGCTGGAGGGTTGAGCTTCCTGGAGAAGAATGTTATCGGACTGGTAAGTGACCAAAAAGCGTCCAAATTGAACGATTGCTTGACGTTGGCGAAAAAATGACGTGTCTGTGGTCGAACACAAGTCAATAAAGTGTGTGTGCTAGCATGACACGGTGTTTCAACACGTCTCGTTTGGGGAATGCGGACCTGAGAATAGAAATAGAAAGATACAAATTTAGAGAGGTGGGCTTTTTTTCGGGACATGGTTTGCCTTTGTAAATAGATATGTTTGTCTAGGAGATGAATGCGGGAGAGGATCGCCGTTGACTAATATTGTGTCAAGCTTGTTTACGGCTCCTTTTATGACAAAAAAAGCTTTGATGTGAATGTCGCGTTCTTTGTCCTATCGTTTGAGGACTTTATCAAGCCACAATATGTTTAACCCACATGTTGTGAAGGATTTTCTTTTCCCCGGAAATGCTTGTTAATATTATCCCATTGAACTAGAACTAACTGACTGACAACTTTTCAAAAAATTTGATAATTTTTGTGGTTTTTGTTACCTTGTTACACGTGTGCTGTTCCCTGTTAAAAATGACTGGCCTACCAAAAAATGCTTGTAAATCTCTCATTATGCTACCAAGTATTGGTTTCAGTCTTTTTGTCAATTTGTTTTCTTTCAGTTAGCACAGGTTTTGTATTTCTTTTCTTTTTTTTTTGAACTGATTGATTGTCTGTGCTTATGCATCAAAATTTTTTAGTGAACATTGCCAAACTTTTCCACAAATAATGTTCCAAATAAAATGCAAAACCTGTGATAATTGTTAGAAAACAAGCATTCTATATTATTACCAAATTTTGGATTCTTGTATCTTTTTTTTTGGCTGCGTTTACACTTGGCATTAACATGCGATCACCGGGATCTGATCAAGCAGTTCGGATCATCAGTAAATCAGGACACGGCGCGTTTACACTTGGCAACATCAGCTGACTTCTCGATCTGGATAACCGATCGGATCTGTATTTCCCGCGCAATATTTAAATAAGTCTGCGGTGCAAAGTCGACCTGAAGTGGTGGGTTTTCTTTTGAAAACTATTTTCAGTCGCGGGACATTTTACAAAACAAAATAAAAGTACGAGTCTCACTAGCGCTCTGTTCTTCCGACAGATCGGGAGAGAGGGGGTGGCGTTTTGCGTGATGTCGATCTGCGAATGAGACACGATGGCTGGATTGCGTTTACATTACACGTAGGTACGATCACAATGCGTCCTCGACTACCTCCGGACAAGGACACGCTGATCGGATAACATTCCGATCAGAATCGCGTTTACACTTGTCTTTTCAATGTGTATGTGAACAACATCCGGATACAGCTCGCATGTTAATACCAAGTGTAAACGCAGCCTTTGTCAACTTGTTTTCTTAGAAGTTCACAAGCAATTTTAAAAGGTCAGTCATTTTTGACCAGGAACACCAAATTAGGCCAAGGATTTTCAAGCTCAGCACAAAGGTTAAATGTAATTTCCAGTTCCTGTGTTTGGTACCAGTCAGGGGCGTTGCCATCATTTCAGAAGTGAGGGGGACAGAAATGTTATATATATAAAAAAAAGAAAAAAAAAGAAATATATATATATA